TATATTATATTTATAATATTTTATTTTTTTTCATTATACTAGAAAATCATATTTGAATTAAAATTATAAAATTCAATTTATTAAAATAATTAAAAAAAAAAGTATATAGGCCTAAAATTAATCGAACTCCAGTCGACAGTATTAAAATAATCAATCAATAATTGTAATTACCGTAATTGAAGCGAAATTAAAGGACTGTGTTTTTTTTTTCCATTAACGAAAAAACGTAGATCATTTTTAGTCGTTTTTTTTATGCACTTTTTTCTATCGATACATCCAAAAAAAAGTGGTCACTTTCCAGTATTGATTGAATATTCATTCGTATATTCATTCATTTCTTTCATAAAATTTTTACGAATATTACATTTGAAAAATCGATTGACTAGAAAAAAAAACATGAAAGAGTTACTAATTTGCATAGATTTTTTTTCGTTTATTTTTTAACAAATGTGTTTTTTTTTTCTGCACATCTTATCAAATTTTAGATTTTTGTTCTAGGAAGACATCAATCTACTTTGTGTCACTCATTTCGTAAACAGAACTCAACGAGTTACATTCTATTTTCTTGCCTCAAAAAGAAAATTTCATAACTAGAACGAAAACAAAAAACCATTTTCAAAATATAAAATGCACTTTTAAACGTGAACAATAAAAAAAAAACAACGGTAGGCGGATTGAATTATTGATTTTCACTGAGTGATGAAGCTAAATGAGGCTAAAATGTTATAATGATAATTTCCGGACAGCGATTGAGGATCAGCAACACAAGAAAAGGAAAAAAAAACACAAACAAATGTCATTTATTGTGTTAATTTAATTTTGAATTCTTCTTTGAATACGTTTTCATATTAGATTTGAATTCTTTTTAAGCTTCATATTATGAATGCTGTCAGGCTTATAGTATTTTTCATCGTTGTCATCTTATTGATTAACGTCATCAACAGATGTCACGACATTGAAGATGAACCATTGACGTCCTTTAAAGCATCAAGCATAACGAAAAACGTCATACAGTATCCTAGTGATGATCTACAATATCAATTAGAATCGGCTTCGAATCGTCGACTGATATGACCTACGTCGGTTGCGAAATCTATTATTATCGATCGATCTCATGACCAACACATCCCGAATCGTCCTCTTTTTTTTCATTGCGATATTCAATAATTTTCAAACTGCTCTCAATGAATTTCTTTTAATTATTGTTGTTATTATCATTATTATAACTATTTTTTTATTATTGTTCAATTATAAGCTATCAACTGAATAAATTGTATTTCGAAAAATAAACTTAAAAAAATCATGTCAAATACCTCAAGGAAATTTCCATAGAATGTTTCTACCTCAGGAAAAAAAACAGAATCAGGCATATTTCTGGATATAATAAAAATAGTTATAAATAATTTATTAGTGAAATAATTAAGAAAATATCAACGGTGGGTTGGAAAAGAAAAAAAACGGATTCTAATTAAAATATAAAACTTATTTTGCTAAAATCGCTTGAAAAAAAAAGAACAAAAAAATTTTTCTTTTATATAAAATTTTTTTTCAAACATAATAAAACTTTCTTTTATCTGCTTTTTTTTATTATTTTTAACTCAATTTATCATAAAGTGAATATGGCATTGTGGCTAATGGCAATGTCCTCGAAGATGCTGAGTTCATCGCAAAAGTTGGGACATCAGGCGGGACTCGAACTCAAATCTATCAGATATCCGGTCTCTTGTGCTACCGAATACACCATCAATACTCTCGTCCTTCCATCAATCAGTTTTTTTTTGAACTTGAATTTGAATTTTAAGGAATTAAA